GCCCCAGGGATCCCACCAGTGAGGCAGCACAGGCCGGGAAGCAGTTAGAGAACTGTTTTCTATTCCAAGAGTGTATACTTTTTGAAATTAATCAGTGAGTGTTTTTTAGTTAAGGAGTTCTGGTGGCACAATAGTTAAAGCGCTTGGCAGCCCACCAGCTTCTCCATGGGAGAAAGATGTGGCAATCTGCTTCCGTAAAGATTTACAGCCTTGGAAACCCTATGGGGCAGTTCTACTCTGTCCTGTAGGGTCACTATGAGTCAGCATTGACTCATCGGCAGTGGGTTTTGGTTTTGGTTTGGCTTTTTAGTTATTAAATGACAGTGAGAATAGATGGTGTTTGTTTTTTCTGCCTTGACAAAATAAGAAAGGGCAACACTATGTCAGTTCTTAAAACCAATTTTTTAACTTTTCTGAATGGTATAATCCCTATGTCTAGATGGCCTCCACTCCAAAGAAAGAATCATAAAGGAGAAAACCTATAGTAGGGGAGATCTGCTAATATGCTATTTTTTAGTCCATTTAGAAGGTGATGAGAACTTAGGTAAAAGTTGTGGTTGGGAGTCTAGAGAGGAGAAGTTGGATTATAGAGACATTTCTAGAGTAGAATTAAGAAAATTTAATGTAGTAGTCCATTGAAAGTAAAGAGGCAGCAGTGGAGGATGACACCCAGGTTTCTGGCTTGGGTTCCTGGGTGGATAATGGTACCACTCCATGAGATAGAGAAAATCGGAGGAGGAGGAGGAGGTTTTGGAGGAGGTGGGAGGAGAAGATAAGCTTTGGGCATTCTAAATTTGAGATGCCTGCAGGCATCCAGGCAAAGATATCTAGTAGTCAGTTGGAAATATGGATCTTAGAGATATGGGAATCACTATGGCCCAAGTGAGGTAAAAGGCTATGAATAAGGTATTCAGGGATAAGAAAAAAGGACCAAAAAGAGAATACAACCCAGAAAAATAATAATGTATTGGGGTTTTTTGTTTGCTTTATGATGGAATGATGGGAAATACTGTTAAGGAGATTACAAAACAAGGGTAAGAGAAGGAGGAAATGTTTTAGAGAATAATCCCAGAGAAGGGAAGAGAGAAAACACTTTTAAGAAATGAAGTTTGATCAGAGATATCAACCATTGTAGAAAGAGCAAGTAGAATGAAGTCTCAAAATAGATCATTGATTTTGGCCATTAGAAGGCCACTAGTGACTTTAGCAAGAGCAGTTAGAAGGCACCCAAAAAAGGATACTCACAAGAGATTGGGATGCACTATTCTGAACATCAGAGCCCTAATGGCACAATGGTTAAGAGCTACGGCGAGCTTCGTCTGCTAACCAAATAATCGGCAGTTCGAATCCACCAGCCGCTCCTTGGATACCCTATGGGGCAGTTCTACTCTGTCCTGTAGGGTTGCTATGAGTCAGATTTGGGTTTTCTCCTGAACATTAACTAAGGGAGAAAAGAAAGGATCCTTTATCTCAAATCCCCTGTTAGTGACTCTTGCATTATTCTCTTTTTTGTTCGCCTAGAGAGGGCCTTTCTTGACATTTAGTGTGGATCTCTTGCTTTCTGTAATTCTTTCCATATCTTAGTTGTGTCCAATGACATCCTGAATTACTTTTTATCTTACAATGTATTACTGTCTCCTTTTGTAATTGGAGTACAGTTAAATACTTAGTAACAGAACTTCTTTACTTTCCCCATAATTTCTACCTAACATCTTTGTATTTGAGGCCAGACTTCAGGGAACATATATGGTTCCAAGCAATATTTCTATGTCCAAGATGTCCGAAGTATCATTACCCAGATGGAAGTTTCAAATGCTTATTTGCCAAGGATGCATACCATTCACAAAAGAAAGATAAGAGCAGAATGAAACACTGAAAGACAAAGAAGTTACCATTCGTAGGCTCTCTTATCTCACGTAATAATGGACCCTACTACTTGTTATAGGATGAGGGTTATTTTGGTGTTGAAGGCAGAGGTGGGTAGAGTTGAACTAGGAATATATTATGAGGGAGATTGTAATATGGGAAAGGGTTAGACAGAGATTTTCAAGGTTTTTGGTCTCAGAACCCTTTTGCACTGAAAAATTATGGAGATCTCCAAAGAATTTTTGTTTATATGGATTATGTCTACAGATATGTACCACATTAGACATTTAAACTGAGAAAAATTAACTTATTCATTAAAAAATGACACTTGATGCATGCCACAACTTGGATGTATCTTGAGGACATTATGCTGAGCAACATAAACCAGACACAAAAGGACAAATACTAATCTGGAAGGCATTATGCTGAGTGAAATTAGTCAGTTGCAAAAGGACAAATATTGTATGAGACCACTATTATAAGAACTCATGAAAAAGTTTAAACACAGAAGAAAACATTCTTTGATGGTTACGGGGTTAGGGAGGGAGGGAGAGGGGAATTCACTAGAGTATAGACAAGAATTATCTTAGGTGAAGGGAAGGCACACAATACAGGGGAAGTCAGTACAACTGGAACAAATCAAAAGCTAAGAAGTTTCCTGAACACAGCAGTCATCTAATGCTGCTATAACAGAAATACCACAAGGAGATGGCTTCAACAAAGAGAAATTTATTTTCTCACAGTCAAGTATGCTACAAGTCCAAATTCAGGGCATCAGCTCCAGGGAAAGTCTTTCTCTTCTCTGCTCTGGAGGAAGGTCCTTGTTATCAATCTTCCCCTGGTCGGGGAGCTTCTCAGCGCAGGGACCCCAGGTCCAAAGGACGTGCACTCCTGCTCCTCGTTCTTGGTAGTATGAGGTCCCCATGTCTCTCTGCCCACTTCTCTCTTTTATATCTCAAAAGAGATTGGTTTAAGACACTGTCTAATCTTGTAGAGCTCATCAATATAACTACAGTTAATCCATCTTATTACATCATAGTGATAGGATTTATAACACATAGGGAAATCACATCAGATCACAAAATGGTAGACAATCATACAGTACTGGGAATCATGACCTATCCAAGTTGTCAGGTATTTTGGGGGGACACAGTTCAATCCATGACAACAACCAAACACTTCAAGGAACAGAGTAGCAGGGGCAGGGGTCTGGGGACCATGATTTCAGGGGATATCTAGGTCAATTGGCATAACAAAGTTTTATTAAGAAAATGTTCTGCATCCCACATTGGTGAGTGGCATCTGGGGTCTTACAAGCTAGTGAGCAGCCATCTAAGATGCATCAATTTGTCCCAACCCACCTGGAGGAAAGAGGAATGAAGAATACCAAAGACACAAGGAAAATATTAGCCCAAGAGAAAAAAAGGGCCACATAAACCAGAGACTCCATCAGCCTGAGACCAGAACAACTAGATGGTACCTGGCTACCACTAATGACCGCACTGACAGGGAACACACCAGAGAGTCCCTGATGGAGCAGAAGAAAATGTGGTACTGAACTCAAATTCACGTAAGGAGACCAGACTTAATGGTCTGACTGAGACCAGAGGAACCCCAGAAGACATGCCCCCAGACTCTGTTAACCCAGACCTAAAACCATTCCCGAAGCCAACTCTTCAGACAAAGATCAGATTGAACTATAAAACATAAAATAAAACTTGTGAAGAGTGTGCTTCTTAGTTCAAGTAGATCTATGAGACTAAATGGGCAGCTCCTGTCTGGAGGCAGGATGAGAAGGCAGAAAAGGACTTGAGCTGGTTGAATGGATATGGGAAATCCGGGTGGAAAGGGGGAGTGTGCTGTCACAGTATAAGGAGAGCAACTAGGGTCACATAACAATATGTATATAAATTTTTATATGAGAAACTAACTTGAGCTGTAAGCTTTCACCTAAAGCACAATTAAAAAAAAAAAAAATACAGTGTGATATCACTTATATGAAATAAGCAAAGCAAGAGAAAGACTTGGCAATCTCCCATAAAGACTACAGCCTGGAAAACTTTATAGGGTAGTTCAACTCTGTCACATGGGGTTGCTATGAGCCCAAATCAATTGCACAGCACGTAATAACAACGACATAGTAATTAGTGGTTACCAGGGGCAGGGTGGAGGGGGAGAGAGCGGGTTTTTGCTTAGAGTGCGTTGAAGACATGTTAATGGTAGTGGGATAGTTTGGAAAAAGAGCGAAAATCATTGCATAACTTGAAGAATGTAATTGATGTCACTGAAGTGTACATGTAGAAACTGATGAAATATTGTATGTGTTATTGTGTGTATATTACAATAAAAAAGAATTAAAATCTAAATATATATATATAAATAGCAATGATAGACCATATTCTAAATAAAAAACAAGAAAAAAATCGTGAAAAGAGTGGCATGACCTGCACAATTCCACATGACAATGAAGAGGCAGTGAGTGAATATTTGTAGAAGAGGAGAAAAGGATAGGTGACTGTAGAAGGTAATTATTTTTAAAATAAAATGTTAATCTTTTATTAAAGTAATAAACGTGTTAAAAAAAACACAGAGTTTGTAATAAACAGCAACAGAACAGCTCTCCAGTAGGAACTGCTTTTATTTCTTTTCTTTAAATCATTTTAAAAAATTTATCAGTTTTGGGCATTCTTAGTGAATGTAATAGATGAAGATTTAGCTCACTAAAACATCCCCTTATTCACTCTTCCCAATAGGTTATATCACTATTTGTGGTCCTCTAAGTTTTCATTTGTTTGTTTGTTTTCTTCCTTTAGATGTTTTCAAGTCTGAGAATGACCCTAGGGATGAAATCTGAAGAACACAGAACAGAAATATGGAATGAAGCTGGGCCCTTGATTATGTTATTAAGTCACTGAAATGGAAGACCCTAAAGTCACTCTGGGGGCAGTGGTGGTTCAGTGGTAAAATTCTTGCCTTCCATGTGGGAGACCTGGGTTTGATTCCTGGCAATGGACCTCATGTGCAGCCACCACTAATCTGTCAGTGGAGGTTTGCATGTTGCTTAACAGATTTCAATGGCCCTTCCAGACTAAGATGGACTAGGAAGAAAGGCCTGGCAATCTACTTCTGAAGATCAGCCAGTGAAAACCACATGGATCAAAATGGTCTGATCTGCAACCAATCATGTGGTGGATGCAGGACCTAGCAGCATTTCTGTCTGTTGTGCATGGAGTCGCCATGAGTCAGGGATGACTCAACAGCAGCTAACAACAGCAGCAGAGTCACTCTACCTCCAAGCATGTAAGATATTAAATCCCTGTATTGTTAAAAACAGATTTCTGACACATATAAACAAAATCATCCTGTTTCAAACTCCAGAATGTAGAGAACTTAGTGCTTAGATGGCAGCTCCCTTTCTAATTTCCATAGGGCTCACGGAAGCCCTGGTGGTGTAGTGGTTAAGTGCTATGGCTGCTAACCAAAAGATTGGCGGTTTGAATCCATCAGGCGCTCCTTGGAAACTCCACGGGGCAGTTCTGCTCTCTCCTATAGGATCCCTGTGAGCCAGAGTCAACTTGATGGCAATGGGTTTTTTTTAATAGGGCTCCCTGGTCATTTATTCCGTTTCTTTAGAACCCTCTATTTTATGCTTTATTTTTTCCTGGATGGTGCGGGAAACGCCTAGCTGCCAGGCATTATGCTTGCAAGGGTAGGCTTGGTGACTGAATTCTCAGTATAAACTTTAAATTAATCCCTCTGTTTTTGGCCCTGGCTCTCAATGGCATACTCAAATGTTTACAAGTCCTGAGTTTCTCTGAGGTTTTGTATGGTTAATTGGATCCTTCCTCAACAGCATCTTATTCTATGTGAATTCTAGGCTGGGCCGGTTCACCCTGTTTCATGAGACACCCCCACTACTGCATCCACTTCCAGTCAGAAAAAAATTTATATCCCTTGTGCCCTTAAGACCCTCTCCTATTCAAATGTTGCTGTAGGTTGATATATTTATTTCTCTACTCTCATTTTAATAAGACCCTGGGAGCAACAAGAGAAAAGTCACACATGCTTCTAGGTGATCTTCCAGTAACTGAAGACAACAGAGATACAGGGCATGAATGGAATCAACTGACCTCCAGGTTCTGAATGGAACGTTGGTATAAAGCTATTTTGGAGTCAGAATAGACAGACCTCTAATATTCTCTGGGTCTGGAAATTAGCAGAATTTGGTGAGGCGGGAGGTAAGTACTTTTTAAGGCTCTCACATATTTTCAGGACCTGATCTCTAGCAATTGACATCTCTAGGTTGGTATGGGTAGAAGCTGGAACTGCCTGAGGCTCTTAGGTATCCCCGCCCCTTTTTTTTAAATTATAATTTACATACCATAGAATTCACCATTTTAAAGTATACAATTCTGTGGTTTTTAGCATATTACAAGGTTGTAGAACCATTACTACTATCAAATTCCAACCGAAAAAGAAACTCCATACTAATTAGCAGTGACTTCTTATTTCTCTCTTTTCCTAGCTCCTGGTAACCCCTAATCTACTTTCTGTCTCTATGAATTTGCCTATTATAGACAATTCATATAAATGGACTCATACAATATGTATCCTTTTGCATCTGATTCCTATCACTTAGCATAATATTTCAAGATTGATCCGTGTTGTAGCATGTATCAGTACTTCATTCCTTTTTATGACTGAATAATATTCCATTGTTTGGAGATACCACACTTTGATTATTAATCCATAAGTTTAATGGCCGTTTGGGTTGTTTCCACATTTTAGCTATTGTGAATAATAATGCTATGAACATCCCTATACAAATATTTGTGTGAACATATGTTTTCAATGACAGTTTCAATATCTCTGCATCCTCACCACACTTGTTATTGTTTGTCTCTGATTATAGACACCCTAATGGGTATGAAATGGCATCCCATCATGGTTTTGATTTGCATTTACCCAATAACTAGTGACGTTGAGCATCTTTTCCTTTGTTGCTGGCTATTTGAATATCTTTTTTTGTGTGTGTGTGTAGAACTGTCTATTCAAATCCTTTACTCATTTTTAGAGTTGTCTTTTTAGTGTTGAATCTGTAAGACTTCTTTATATATTCTGGATTGAAAAAACAAAACAAACCCACTGCCGTCGAGTCAGATTCCAATCCTACAGGACAGAGTAGAACTCCTCCATAGGATTTCCGGGGCTATGATCTTTACGGAAGCAAACTGCCACATCTTTCTCCCAAAGAACAGCTGGTGGGTTCGAACCACCAAGACCTTTTGGTTAGCAGCTGAGCACTTTAACCGTTGTACAACCAGGATTCCTTCATATTCTGGATACTAGACCCTTATTCTATATATGATTTGCAAATGTTTTCTCCCATTCTATGGGTTGTCTTTTCATTTTTAAAAAATATTTTATTGTGGTAAAATATACATATCATATAATTTGCCATTTCAACCATTTTTAAGTGCATTGACTACATTCACAATGTTGTGCAACCTTCACCACTATTTATTTCCAAAACTTGTACATCACCCAAAACAGAAATTCTGTAACCATTAAACAATAACTCCCCATCCCTACACCCCCTACAGCCCCTAGTTACCTCTGATGTACTTTCTCTCTGTATGAATTTGCCTATTCTCAATATTTCATGTAAGTGGAGTCGTACAATATTTGTTCTTTTGTGGCTGGCTTATTTCACTTAGCATGTTTTCAGGGTACATCCATGTCATTAGCATTTTCAGAAGTTCATTCCTTTTTATGGCTGAATAATATTCTATTGTATGATTATACACATTTTATTTATCTGTTGATGGATATTTAATGTATTATTTTAGCTTCCTAAAGCTGTCGTAGCAAAATACCACAAACTGGGTGGTGTATAAGAACAGAAATTTATTGTCTTACAGTTCTGGAGCCTAGGAGTTTGAGATCAGGGTGTTGGCCATGTTGATTCCTTCTGAGGGCTCTGAGAGAGAAACAGTTGCATGATTCTCTCCTAGCTTCTTTGGAATTCCTTGGCTAGTAGACACATCTTTACATGGTCATCTTTTCTTTGTTTTTCTGTCTCTGTGTATCTTCTCTTTTATAAGGACACTAGTCATATAGGATTAGGATCCACCCTACTCTAGTATAACCTCATGTTAACTAATACATCTTCAAAGACCCTATTTTCACACAAGTTCACATTCACAAGTACAGGGGTTACAACTTCAACATAGCATATTTTTACGCAAATAAGCACGCCTTCTACATTTGCTTGCCAACCGTGCCCTCACCCTGTGAGGTATTTTCATAAGCGCACTATGCTATTTTTTTCTTTACAGCAACATGTAAAAAAAATTGGCATAGTGGCACTTATGAAAGTACCTTTAGCAGGGAGGGCGCAGTTGGCAAACAAACCTAGAAGGCATGCCTTATTTGTGTAAAATTACAGTGTCTTTTTTGGGGGAACACAGCCCAATCTAAAACATTTGGGTAACACTTTTGTGTTTTGTATTATTTCAATCAGTAACACTTTTGGTTACTGTGAATAATGCTTCTATGCACATTGGCGTACAAGTATACCTGTTTGAATCCCTGATTTCAATTCTTTTGGGTATTGTGGGGTTTATATTAACTTTACCCAAAGAATTTGGCTTTTACCCTCTGTTCTTGAGATATAATCTCTAAAAAAATCTCAGAATTTTTGTGTCTTCGATCAGGACTCCAGACCACACCTAACTAAGGGTTAGGTGAGGTGATGAGATGACTCTGGGGTGAAGATTGGCCAGGCCAAAAAGACCCACCACATAATACTTCATGATCACCTTGTGATATCGACCAACCTCAGGGGAGAAGGGCTGGAGTTTGTATTATGTAATGAGACCCCTCCCCACAAAAGCTCTGGACATGGAAGCTTCATGGGCTTCCTGGTTGGTGAAAGACATCCATGCATGTGAGAGGGTAGCATGTCCCTTTTTTGGGGCTTGGAGGCTTTGCGTTGGAAACCCTCCTAGACCTCACCCTATGCGGCTCTTCATTTGTATCCTTTTTTCCTACAGTGAAACTGTAATCGTAAGTATAGCACTTTTTGTGAGCTCTGTGAGTGTTTTAGTGCAACAAATTATTGAACCCAAAGGAGTAGTGGGAACCAGCAGGTCAGAAATGAGGGGATTGGGGACCCCTGAGCTTACAGATGGTATTCTGAGGTACAGTGTGAACTCTCAAATTTGCAGTCAGCAGATCAGAAGTGAGGGAGGCCAGGGGGCACCCCTAGCTTCTGGCTAGCATCCTGAAGGGGTATGGTAAAACCCTGAACTTGTAGCCAGCCAATCAGAAGTGTGGGTGTCATAGGATACCCAAGCTTGTAACTGGCTTCTGAAGTCTTAGGCCTACTTGGCAATCTGGAGGATTGTGTCCTTTAACTTGTGGGCTCTGACCTAGCTCTGGGTGGTTAGGGTTAGAGAATGAAGTGCTGCATGGACAGCTGGTATCAGAACTGAAGAGGGAAGTGAAAAAGTGATTGAGGATTAGATATATGCTGATTATTATCCTCGAAGGAATATACCTAGCTCTCTAGGTGGCGAAAACGGTTTGCGCTCAACTGCTTACCTAAAGGTTGGCAGTTCGAACCTACCCAGCAGTACCATGGCCTGGCAATCTGCTTCCGTTAAGATTACAGCCAAGAAAACCCTATGAAACAGTTCTATTTGAGGAGTGGAATTGCTGGTTAATACGATAATTCTATGTCTAACATTTTGAGGAACTGCCAAACTTTTCCACAATGGCAGTACCATTTTACATTTCCACCAGCAGTGCACGAGGATTCCAATTTCTCTGCATCCTCATCAACCAGTACTTGTTATTTTCTGATGTTTTCATAATAGCCATCCTAGTGGCTATGAAGAGGTATCTTATTGATGTTTTGATTTGAGTTTCCCTAATGACTAATGGGAGCCCTCATGGCACAGTGGTTAAGAAATCAGCTGCTAACCAAAAGGTCGGCAGTTCAAATCCACCAGCCACTCCTTGGAAACACTATGGGGCAGTTCTGCTCTATCTTATAGACTTGCTATGAGTCAGAATTGACTTGATGGCAGCGGGTTTGGTTTTTTGGTTTAATGACTAATGATGCTGAACATCTTTCCATATGCTTATTGGCCATTTGTGTATCTTTGGAGAAATGTCTTTTCAAGTCCTTTGCCCATTTTTTAAGTGGGTTGTCTTTCTTGTTCAGTTGTAGAAATTCTTTATATATTCTGGATATTAAACCCTTATGTGATATATGATTTGCAAGTATTTTTCTCATTCTGTATGTTGTCTTTTTTATTTTGTTGATAATGTCCTTTGATGCACAAAAGTTATTATTTTTGATGAAGTCCAGTATATTTATTTTTTCTTTTGTTGTTCATGCTTTTGGTGTCATATCTGTGATACCATTGCCTAATACAAGGTCATGAAGATTTGTGCCTGTGTTTTCTTCTAAGAATTTTATAATTTTAGCTCTTACATTGTGACCACTGATCCATTTTGAGTTAATTTCTGTTTATAGTGTGATGTAGAGGTCCAATTTCATTCTTATGAACGTGGATATCCAACTGTCCCAGTATCATTTGTTGAAAAGACTATTCTTTCCCCATTGAATTGTCTGGTACCTTGTCAAAAATCAATTGACTATAAATGTGGGGGTTTATTTCTGGACTCTTGTTTCTATTCCATTGATCTGCATGTCTGTCCTTAGCCAGTAACACACAGTCCTGATTATTGTAACTTTGTAGTAACTTTTGAAATTAGCAAGTATGAGTCCTCCAACTTTGTTCTTTTTTTTTTTTTGAGGTTGTTTTGGCTATTTGGGTCCTTAAATTTCCATATGAATTTAGGATCATTTTGTTAATTTCTGACACAGGCTGTATGTAGAATTTTAATGAGGATTGTGTTGAATCTGTAGATCAATTTGGAGAGTATTACCATCTTAACAATGTTAAGTCTTCCAACCTATGAAAACAAATGTCTTTCCACTGATGTAGATCTTCATTTCTTTCAGCAATGTTCTGTTAGTCTTCAGTGTACAAGTCTTACACCTCTTTTGTTAAATTTGTTCCTAAATACTTTATTCTTTTTGATGCTATTATAAATGGAGATGTTTTCTTAATTTCATTTTCAGATTGTTTATTACAAGAATATAGGAATACTGATTTTTGTATATTGATTTTGTATTCTGAAACCTTGCTGGACTTGTGTTTTATCTCTAATAAATCTTTGTGGATTCCTTAGGATTTTCTATATACAAGATCATGTTAACTGCAAATAGAGATTTTTTTTCTTCCTTTCCAATCTTGATGCCGTTTGTTGTATTTTATTTACTTACTTTTGGCCTAATTGCCCTGGCAAGCACTTCCAGTACAATGCTGAATAGTAGTGGTGAGAGCAGACATCCCTGTCTTGTTCCTGATCTTGCGGGGAAAGCTTTCAGTGTTTCATCAGTAAGTATGATGTTAGCTCTGGGTTTTTCATAGATGCCCTTTATCAGGTGGGGAAGTTCCCTTTTATACCTATTTGTTGCATGTTTTTATCATGAAAGGTGTTGTATTTGGTCATATACTGTTTCTGCATCTATTAAGATGATCAAGTTGTTGTTGTCCTTTATTCTCTTCATATGGTTGTTACACTGATTGATTTTTATGTGTTAAACCCCCCTTGCATTCCTGGGATAAATCCCACTTGATTATGGTCCATACACCTTTTCATATGTCGTGGGATTTGGTTTGCTAGTAGTTTGTTGAGGATTTTGTATCTGTATTCATAAAGGATATTGCTGTGTAGTTTTCTTTTTTGTGATGTCTTTGGTTTTGGTGTTAGAGTAATACTGGCCTCATAGAATGAGTTGGGAAGATTTTTTCTTTTGTTTTTTGCAAGAGCATTGGGTACTCTGGACATGATTTTTAACAGCTCCAGCTTTCCCTTTGTTGTAGATATAGGCTAAAACTGTTTGAAGGTCTTTTATGTTCTCAGATTTATCCTTTTACTTCCTTCTTGCCTTGCTGCCTCCCTAATTTCCTGAGGACCTGTTCTCTAGGTTTCAAGGCAATAATGGTCTCATTAGAAACACTATATATTTATGTGTTTAAGCCATTTCTTCTCTCCTTCCAAGGAAATACATAGTATGTTTGGCCATAATTTGTGTTTCTGATATGCAAATTAGCTTTTGATTGTTAAATAGGGGAATGATGTCAGTTTATGTGGAAACTGTCATCCTTGATTTTTCATACTTTGATTTTCCAGGGAAAGGGAGGCCACAATACAAGAAGTAGAATTATAACCTTTCTCAGGAAAGGAAAAATCCTTCAACTTAGCTGCTTCACAGGCAAAAACACTTTTTAACTCTGAGCCTCAGAAGTTTTTTTTAAGAATGATAATAATAGTTGATGATCCTCAGTCCACCATGTGTCTCAGTCCTTAGTTTCTGTTGCTACTGCTCAGTTCTCCGTCGTTTGGTCATCTTCCTCATTGCAAATCTGTGAGGACAATTGAACTTTGGTTTAGCTAGTTCCAGTCTTCTCCTACATTGATAATCACATGGCTTTCATAACCTGCTTGGTAAAATGTGTCCTCTGCGACAGTGCTTCTCAAACTTGAGCGTTCATCAGAATCACCTGCAGGGCTTGTTCAAACTGAGATTCTTGGATGCTGCCTTCAGAGATTCTGATAAATTAGGTCTGGGTAAGCCCTGAGGATTTGCATTTCCAACAAGCTCCCAGGTGATGCTGATGCTGCTGGTCCAAGGACCACATTTTGAGTGACACTGCTCTAATGGCTGCCATCAGCAGTATCAGCCATTTGCACAGCCACCAGTTCCTTCCTTATTCAGTCCTTTTTTTCTTTCTATCACTCTCTTTCTTTTTTTTCTCTCTCTCCCTCCCTCCTTCTCTGTCTCTCTTCCTTTCTCCCTCCCTGTCTTTCCTTCTTTCCTTCCTTCCTCCCTCACTCCCCCTCCGTCCCTCCCTCCTTTCCTCTCTCCCTCCTTCTTTCGTTCTTTTCGTTCTCCACCATTGCATTGACACAGTTATTCTCAGCCACAGGTAGTTTTGCTCCCCAGAGGACACTTGACAATGTCAGGAAACATGTTTTGTTGTCATAACCGGGTGAGGGGGTTGGGTGCTGTGCTAGAGGCCAGGAATACTGCTAAACATTCTATAATGCACAAGACAGCCTCCCACCACAAAGAATTATCCAGCCCAAAATGTCAGTAGGGCCAAGGATGAGAAACACTGCATTGGCATGAAACTCATTTGTTTGCAAATACAATCCTTCTGATTGTGTCTATGTCAAGTCAGCAGCCTATGAAATGAAGATGGAAATATGAGAATAGTTGTATCTCCCCTCAAAAATAATTTTATACTTCATTGAAAGTAAGTGATCTAAACTCGAAGCTATCAAGTGCTGTGAAATATCACCTACAGACATGATTGCTTGTCTTCAGATTTGCAATTTCTCCTTCTTAGGTCTCATGGCAGAATGGAGGACTTTACTGAAGGTACACCTTTGGACACGGGGCCCCGCTATTTCTTTGACCAGGTAATAATATAGCTCACTCTCATCACATTATAATTCACTGTTTCGTTTTTTAATAATTCACTTTTGACTAGTATTTTTTCTACTTTTTAATCAGAAAGGTTTCTTTCATTTTAGTTGAAACCTGAAAGAAAAACGTGGATAAAGAGAAAATGTGAAGACCATGTCTCCCGTTGGAGAAACACCTCAAGAGCAAAGTATTGGTAAAACAGTTTAAATTACTCTTCAGTTGTTGGGGTTACTTTCATTTTAAAAGGCTGATAAGATTATCAGGCCCAAATCTCACACGGCCCCTATTCCCCAAAAAACTATATCAAGAAATTGCCATTTCAAATCTAACCATCAAGTCATTCAGAGAATTTCGCTCTCATTAGATCAGTGGTTAATTTAAGCATAATTGATCATATCATCCGATCACCCTGTTTCCTTGCTGTTCCTCAACAAACCCAAGCTCACTCTTGCCTTAGAGCGTTTGCATTTGCTGTTCCTTCTGCTTTCTGCACTGATTCCTCTCTGTTTCCTTTAAATCTTTACTTAAATATCAAGTTTGTTGACCACTCTATTTCAAATTTCCACCCTGTCCCCACCTTGGCACTCCCCATCCCCCTTCCTAACTCAATTTTTTGTTGCACTTATCACTTTCTAGCATTCTAAGTAATATCTCTATTTATTTGCTTATTTTCTCCCTCTTCGCAAGAGTATAAGATCTATAAGAATAGGAATTTTTGTCTACTTTATAGTGGCAGCATAGTGCCCCAACCATAATGCCTGGCATACAGAATGTACTCAATAAAGATTTGTGATTAACACCTATGGAATTGTGTAAAGTCCACAAAGATGAATGAAATAATGGAACTAGTCATTCTACAACTCTTACCATCTGGTTACTACAATTTCTTTACTTGTGAAGTAGAGATTAAAGTACCCCATCCTGCCTCAGAACATATATCACAAGAGTATATAAAGGTTAAAAGTTGTCAGTTACACCAGTGTGTTCTCAACCAGGGGCGATTCTGCCCCACAGGGGACATTTGACAATGTCTGGAGACATTTTGGCTTGTCACAGTTAGGGGGAGAGAGGGTGCTATTGTCATCTAGTGGATAGAGACTAGGGATGCTGCTGAACACCCTGCAATGCACAGGACAGCCCTCCACAACAGAGAATTATCTGGTCCAACATATCAGTAGTGACTTGGTTGAGAAACCTGGCTTTTTACTAATCTGTATTTTTTGGAACCTGCTATAGCTTTTCTCAAAACCAGTGCAGTTTGCTGCTTTTTTCGGCAGATGCACTGTCTCCTCATTTTCAACTCTTTCTGCTTGAAAAGCAGTTTGGCATAACTTGTTCATTTTATATGCACATGCTTAGCTCATAATTGGCTCTCAATCAATGAGTTCAGATTGTCATATTAGCAATCAGTTGATCTGTTTATCATAGAGTTCCAGGGGTCTATTAGCTTCCCAGTTCTCTCATTTGAAGCACTCCTTAGAGTATGTTCTAAAGCATTGTTTCTGCCCATCCTGCTTGGAAGCACTTGTTTCTTGCACTGACAGTCCTACTGCCACCGTGCTATCGCACTGAAAATAAAATCCTCACTTCTAATCATAACCTACAGGACCCTCTGTGATTTTCTCACCTGCCTATCTTGCGACTTCCTCGCATAGTACTCTCCATATCACTCACTGCTCCCCAGCCGTTCTGGCTTATTTGTTCCTTTGACAAATATCATAGTTATCTAGTACTGCTATAACAGAAATACCACAAGTGGATGGCTTTAACAAACAGAAATTTAGTCTCTCACAGTCTAAGAGGCTAGAAGTCCAAATTCAGGTTGCCAGCTCCAGGGGAAGGCTTTTTCTCTCTGTTGGCTCTTGGGGAAGGTCCTTGTCATCAATTTTCCCCTGGTCTAGGAGCTTCTCGGCACAGGGAACCTGAGTCCAAAGGATGTGCTCCACTCCTGGCTCTTCATGCTTGGTGGTAATGAGGTCCCTCTCCTCTCTGCTTGCTTCTCTCTTTTATATCTCAAAAGAGATTGACTCAAGATACAGTGTGATCCTGTAGATTGTGCCCTGCCTCATTAACATAACTGCCTCTAATCCTGCCTCATTAACATCATAGAGAGTAGGATTTACAACACATAGGATAATTACATCAGATCACAAAATGGAGGGCAACCACACAGTACTGGGAATCGTGGCCTAGCCAAGTTGGCACACATTTTTGGGGGACACAGTTCAATCCATAGAAACAACCAATTCCTGCTCTAGGGTCTTTGCATTTGCTATACACTCTCCTTTGCATGTGTTTCTGCCAGATTATTTTATGGTTGGCTCCTCCTCATTACTCATAACATGGGGTCGCTATGAGTCACGATTAACATGACAGCAATGGGTTTGAGTTTTTTTTTCCTCATTATCATTCAGGTCTCATCTCAAATGTGTCCTCTTCAGAGAGGCCTTCCCTAACCTCTCAATCCAAAGAAGCCACACATATACTCCTCCCCCATCATTTTATTACAGTGTCCTGTGTTATTTTCATCATAGCAGTAATCATATGTAATTTTCATTTCTTCTCCTTCCTTCCCTCCTCCCTCTTTTCCTCCCTGCATTCTTTCCTTCATGTCTTTCTATCTTATCTGTCGTCCCCCAACTAGAATGTAAGGTCCATGAGGGCAGAGATCTGTCCTCTTCCACCATGTCTCCCCAGCACCTGGAACTGTGCCTGATGGATATTAGTTGAATGAATGAATCCTTTCTCCACGTGTCCTGAACCTAGGGGAGTGGAGCTACTTTAAGAATGGGCCAGGTGCCAAGACCTTCATTGCTGATTAACTCTTTTTTTTAAGATTATTAAGTCTGGTTTTGAACTAAATAGTCTATTATTGAGCTTTCTATCTGAAAAATAAACCAGACATATAAGTATTATTTTTTTAAATGCACATTAAATTTCTTAACTTTCTTAACAACCATCTGAAGGAAGTATAATTACTGACACCATTTTACAGATGATAAAATGGAAGCAATTAACAAGTGATATATGTTACTATTATTATTGTAATGAGTACAGTCTTTTTCATTTTATTTGAGTAACAGATAAACCTGACAGTTACAAATGCGTAGTTGCACAGTGTTGCAAAGAAAATACCATAAAGTGGAGATAACACGATAGCTGTCCCATAGAGTTAATACTAGGGTTTGTTGAAGTGGTATTTATGAAAACAACTTTGAAGGTTTTAAAGGGGTATACAAATTTAATGAGTTATTATTATAGAAATAGACTTAAAATTTTAGAAAATGAGACTTCCCTCTTTTAGATATCAATGTGCAAATATAACCAATACCCCAAAATCAAAGATTTAAGATCTACTTTTAGAACTCTTAGGCCAACTCAAATACCTTTTGATGTTAAATAATTTCCCCTTTATATCACATGGAACACTTAGTTGGCAAACCAGTGTTATTTTCAAAGTATGCTAATGGAACCACCATTTAGAAGAGTAATGTAGGTTTCTTTTTATTGTGATGTGCCATTTTATAAAGACTATATTCAGGTGAAATTCCACACTGACTCTGTGGAAGAAAACACTTTGAAACAATAATGACTGGGGCAGCTGTCCTACTTGGAATTCTTTGAACAACTGGTTATGAGGAAAATGTTGCTGAGGACAGCTTGATTAAACTACTTTTGTTCATGCCTCTGACAGAACAGTGAAATCAGTTCTAGTTTTTTGTGCAATAGATATTTGCTGAATGAATGAATGATGATGATGGCCAGATTACAGATTTTAAGCTCCTGAAAGGGAACTGTTTTCTCTTATATTCCACATAGCATAATGCCCGTACAGTGTCAGCTTGATTACCTTCCTAAATTGTATTGTATTAATTATCTAGAATGATATTGAAGATGCCTTTGATGCTTCTCAGTAAAATATATGCTTGTGATGTAAATGTTTTATATCCAATTTATGGCTCCTGTCTTGGAGAAGAATAGCATCAGAGCAAGGCTTAAACCCTCTCGATTCAGCTATATGAACCTAAATCATTCATTTATTAATCTATTCATTCTTTCAATTAATATTTGTTGAGCATCTACATGTGTTAGAGATACAGTAATGAGCAAAACAAAGTTTCCTGCCTCATGGAGATTCCATTTGAGCAAGGGAAGACAAAAACAAAATAAAATATAACTTATTAAATAATGCAGAGTGCTTTGGAGAATAAAAGGCAGACTGGGGGTAGGGATATGCTATTTTATGTAGGGTGTTCAAACATGGCCTCACACCTACAATAATATGTGAGCAGAGACTTGGAGGATGTGAGAGACTATGGTATGTGAAGTATGTATTATATGTATATGTTTGGTATGTTTGAAGGCAGCAAGGGGGTCAGTGTGGCTGAAGTGGAGTAAGTTAGGAGAGAATCCAAAACACCAAACCCGTTGCCACTGAGTTATTCCGACTCATAGCAACCCTATAGGACACAGTAGAACTGTCCCATAGGGTTTCCAGGAGCCGCTGGTGGATTCGAACAGCTGACCTTTTGGTTAGCAGCCATAGCTCTTAACCACTTCATCACCAGGGGAGAGAACAGTAGGAAATAAAAACCTGTTGTTGCGGAGTTGATTCTGACTCATGGTAGCCCCATGTGTAACAGAGTAGAACTACTTCATATGATTTTCTTGGCTGTAATCTTTATGGAAGCAGATCATCAGGACTTTCTGCCACAGTGTCTCTGGGTGAGTTTGTACCATCAACCTTTAGGTTGGTAGTCAAGCACAAACTGTTTGTGCCACACAGGGACCCATAGTAGGAGATAAAAGCATAAAAATAATAGGAAGGAGAGAGGATCAGATTATGAAAGGCCTTGGAGCCACTGTTAAAAGCTTTCTGTACTGAGTAAGATGGGAAGCTGTCAGAAGTTTCTGAGAAGTGGGGTGACTTGACTTCCATGTTAAAGGATAACTCAGTTTTTGTGTTGAGATTTGATTTTAAAGACGAGGGAGAAGGGCAGAAGAAGAAGATATCAATAATCCAGGTGGGATGATGGTTGTTCAACCAGTATGGTAGCCATGAAAAAGGCAAGAAGAGGTTAGATTCTGGATATAGTTTAAGGTAGAGATGACTGGATTTGATGATGCATTGAATGTAGAGTGTGAGAAAAAGAAAGGAGTCAAAGATAACGCCAGGGACTTTGTCCTGAGCAA